TAAAACTGTTGTTTGTGCAATCGATACTTGATGGAAATGGAAACCCTTTTGATTGTACATAAGGTTATAACAGTATAAATGGTTTCCATTCACATATAAAAAGATAACAGAAATATAAAAAACAAAGCAAAAATAGTCAATATACCCATTCAAAACAATAATTCCAAAGATAAAAAATATAGAAATATATTTGAGAAACAAACAAAAAAATTGTTATGCATGTGACTTAGTTTTAGAACATGCTACATAAAGTTGGTTGTATGAAAACCAAGGTTTTTTAAGATGAATAGCAACTTTATCAAATACTTGACCCTGACCTTTTTTTATTGTCATTATTGTTAATAAAAGCCTTATTTAAATTTATATAAATATTTTCTTAATGAATATAAATATATATATATATATATATATATATATATATATATATATATATATATATATATATATATATATATATATATATATATATATATAAATATATATATACTATAAATATATTACATATATATTTATAAATTACAATAAAAGCAATTAATCAATGCAAGAAGTCAAGTATAAGTGTATATAACTATTAAATATTAAATATAAGTAAAACAATAAAATTATTGTACTCACTTTAGGGAAAACGCAGTTAATAAATTATTAGAGGAACCTCTTTGTGAAACATTTTTTTAAACTAAAAATTTTTATGATTTTATAAATAATTCTTTAAAAATATTTATTCAATAACGCTTGTAGGCATCTAAATCAGCTTATTTTGTATTAAAGTCAAATTTGATTTTTTTACCTTAAGGCTTTTTTTAAAATGACTACAGTATTATAAAATAACACTGTAGCCATTTTTAAAATATTGTACAATAAAAGCAATCAATTAATGTATTAAGTCAAGTATGAGTACAACAACATTTGTTGAGCCAGAAGAAGCAGCTAGAGCTATTACTGTACAAAAAAAATACAATAATAATACAACACTTTTGCTGTAAACTCGCAAGCCAAGTCACAACACTTAAGGTGTTGTGACTTGGCTTGTGAGTTTACAACAATTATGTTGTTTCCATGGCTTTAAAAGCTATAGAAACAACATAACTATTTACAAATAACACACATTGAAATAATTTACATATTACAAGTGTTTACACATTTATGACACAGAATTTATGATTGCATCAAATTATCTAATATAAAATTTAAGATCATATAACTGATTCAACAGATATTACAGATTATAATAGAGATAATAAAGATTTAAGAATACCTTATCATGTGGTCAAAAATATAAAGTGATATATATATATGGTCAAGTGTAACAAATCTTCTTTAAAAACTCAGAGCCAAATACGCACGAATGAGTAAGGAGCAGTAAATTAAACATTATTTGTATAGGGCTAATTAGTTTGTATTTAGGACTAAAAATTTGTCTAACAGCAAACCTATAGCTAGAATACTGGGACAAAGTAACACGATGCTCCAGTTAATTGTGTCATCATTTTTCTCCTCTACTTCTGCCATGTTTTTATATGCAGAAGCAAATCGATTTTCTTGATTATTTAAAGTTTGTAAGAGTTGCATAAACTTATTTGTACAACCATCATTACCAGGTTGCTCCATTCTGAATGACACTGCTACATTAAGATCATATATATCTAACTGACAATACATGGTTAGAAAACCTTCTTCAGGCCATAAATTTCCAACACGATGCAAAATTTGCCCATAAACCTTAAAACAAAAAGGGCAATTATTTAAGGAATGAGGTATTTTGACTGTGAAGAAAGCAAAAGATAAAAAGAAATTATAACACTTATCTTGATATCTTTTATTTCTGTGGCAGTTTATTTCAGCTCACCTAGGTTCATCTCTTATTTCAATGACAATTTACCTCAGCTAGCCTAAGCTCATCTCTTTCATTTTGGCAACAGTTAAATTCTTTTTGCCTAGCCTGATTTCTTTAATTTCAACGAAGCCTTATAATTTTACTTCTTTAGTTATCAGACATAACTATGCATCAAAGGAGTGTGCAAAAATGATGCTTAATATAATAAAAGTTGCACTTAATATAATAAAAGTTGCACATAGAATTGACTGTGTGAGATGCAAGGGTTTTGGAGATAAACACTAACTTTATCAAGAATTTGACCTCTTGACCTTTGAAAAGAGCAACGTTTTCTAGAGCCATCATCATCTTCTAATTTAATTTAAACTTTATCTAATGTAATCTAATTTAAACTTTAAATACAATTGATAAAAGACTTGAATTGTGTTATTGTTATAACCCATGAATTAAATAAATTACCTGACTTGAAAAGTTACTTTACTAATTCAAAAATAACATAAGATTCATCCTTTACTACAGAAGTTATCAAATAAAAATTGTAGATCTTATTACTAATTAAGCTGATGAAGCAAAGTCTTCGATCTTATTACTGATTAAGCAGATTTTTCTTTTTTTTTTTTGTTATTCACCTCCTCAAGGCCGAGAAGGCCACTACAGACGAGGAGGCTACTTAATAGTGGTTATAACCCTCTCTCAACTCTATAACTCCGAAACACGAACCTTAACGAACAAGGCCGCTGTGCGGAGAAACAAGTTGAGCGCGGTACTACCAGGGACGTGGTGGGGATCAAACTTGGAACCTCTTGCTTATGAAGCGAGTGTTTTACCACTATTCCACTACCCCATAGAGCATATACATGTTTTACCGAACCGTTTTACCGTACCGTTTTACCATACCGCATATACATGTTTTACCACTACACCACTACCGCATATTGACAGCTTATTAAGATTTACAAGTACCTTATTGCGTGAGTTCAAAAGTATAGAGAAGGAGCATGCTAAATCCTATTTATAATAAATGGTAAAAAAGTTTGTGTAAACGTGCACAATGGGCAGCAGCAGAGGTAAGTTAAGTATTAATTATAAGCAATTAGAAAAAACATCACGCTATAGATGAAGGATTGTGGTACTTTAGAAGTTACTAGAAATAAAGTGTTGTCTATTAAGGACAACTTTAATACTGCAATTAGAAATGAACTTTTAAATAGGTTTGATAACATTCTTAGATACTAGATGAAGAATGTCTAGCATTATTGAAAGCTTTTGATATGTCTAAAGCAATTGTACTATTAACCATGATAATAGAACCGGAAATTGAAATCTGAAGTAATTTCTCAAACTGAGTTTTAGAAAATTGTTTTAAACAAGTTTTAAGTTATAGATATATAGAGAATAAACCAGTTGCTAAGTTGATAGTTTCCTTAAGTGGAATGTTTGTAAATTAATGGTCAACATAATATAAAACAATAAAGTTATCATTTATATTAATCATTTTTATTTTTTAACAAAAAAAAATAAGTCTAAAGTGCAAAATTAAATGGGAAAATTCTTCACTTAACTAACTTCCCATTATACTATTAACTTATCTATTTTATTCAAATACCAGTTAATATTATTTTTATTTTGGTTATATTGATTAGTTGTTTAACAAGTCATTTTTCTAGTCATTTGTATTGGTTTATTATGTATATTTTTGTGAATGATTTTTATTGTATTAAACAGTAAAGTTTACTTTAAAAAAGCTTTTATTTAAAATGTAAAATTTTTACTCATTTTACATTAAAAGGTTTTTGTTGTAGACAAATAATAACAAATAGATAGACAAACAAAAATAAATGATTTGAATAGAAACCCAAGATGTTCATGAAGAACATAAATAATAAAAATAAAACTTCAAAGAACTTTTAATAAATACTTAAAAATATTAAGTTAGATTTATATGTTTAAGAATAGCACTGCTACTAAACTCTGAAGTTAAGAATTTAAGTTTTTAAAAAAAAGTTGTAAAGTTTCAAATGTTATAACTGAGAACATTTGAAATAGCATAAGAGTTATAACTGTTTGAGAAGAGAAATCAGATTTAAGATTAACAGCCAATCTTAAATCTGATTTCTCTTCTGTAACAGCTCGGGGTTTGCAGTGGCTGGTGAATTTTGTTTCCAACAAAATTCGGTTCTTTATTGCTACTATCAAAATATTGTTGATATTCTTATATTAATGAATTAATGAATATAAGAATATTGTCATTATTTTTTTCCTGTTTCCATTCTCTACCTCTACAAATCTCTTATTCATCCCTGTATTGAATACAATTGTCATAGAGTTGTTTTTTCTGATGATGCTCTTTCTTTTTTAGACAAGGTACAAAAGTGTAAACATAGTTGGGCCTGTTTTATTTGCCAAGTTTGAGCCTACTCCCATTGTTGTAAAGTTGCATCTCTTTCTCTTATATATACTATCATAGTCGCTGCCTAAAGGAGTTATCCTCTTTACTTCTATTAACCAAAACTCATTTCTGCTTGACTTGTCATATAGTAAATTTGCATCCTTTTACTGTATCTGTCCCTTCATGCCCAAAAAACTTTTATTTGTCTAGTTTCTTTCCTTGCTTATCAATAATTTGGAACTCTCTCCAATCTTCATGTTTTCCTGACTATGTATATATATATATATATATATATATACATATATATATATATATATATATATATATATATATATATATATATATATATATATATATATATATATATATATATATATATATATATATATATACATATACATATACATATATATATATAGAAAGAGAGAGAAAAAAATATATATATATATTTATATATATATATATACATTTATTTATATTTATATATATATATATATATATATATATATATATATATATATATATATATATATATATACATACACATACATATATATATAGAAAGAGAGGGAAAAAAAAAAATACATATATATATATATATATATATATATAGAGAGAGAGAGAGAGAGAGAGAGAGAGAGAGAGAGCGCGCAAAGAGATTGAGAGAAAGAGATAAATACTGCATTTATCTTTTTTTGTTAAGTAATAAACTGTTAACTAGTAAATTAAAAGTTTTAACTAGTAAATTAAAATAAAAAATTTTAAATTTATTTTCAGCCTGTTTTGTTTTCGAGTGTGGTAATGATTTGAGTAATAACATAATATTATCAGTTGGTCAAGCATTTGAATTGAAGTATAAAAAACATCTTCAAACACAACCAAAAATTCAACCAATTGTTGGAAGGTACTTCTTTTTTTGTGTAAAAATAAAAATTGATTTTTTATTCTATGCTCACATTTCAGTAAGACACCTTTGGTATGTATTTACAATTTACAGTATGACCTAAAATCATTGTATTTTAATTAGAGTATAATTGTCACATCTAAATTCTAAAAGTTTTGCTTTGTATGTTTGTTAGTTATTATTTTTTACAACCTGTGAAATTCACAATCAAGCTTATCTAAAAGAACAAAAAAAAATAGTCCTTTTATGAAAGCATTTATTTAGATATTATAATTACATTTAAAGGTTTTTTAAAATATTTTAACTTTAATCAAGTCATTTTTTCGCAGTTAAAATAATCCCATTCTGCTAAAGGGGGTTGTATGTTTTTGCGATCATCACTTAAAATTGTCAAAACATTTGTTTTGATCAAATTTAATTTTTGATTTACTTATACAATACCACAGAATGATTTTTTAAATTTTATTCAAGTCATTATTTTCTTCTAGTTTATTTGTCTTGTAGTTTATTCAACTTCTGATAAATTGCTAAATTGATAAATTGGTTGCCCTCCATTAGCGGGTCTTAAGAATGCTCTAAGAGGGCCATATAAAGTATTGACTTAATATTCTAGTTTCTAAATAGTTTTCTCTCCATATACATGTTGTCTTTTGTTCTAGTTTATTTGTCATTTAGTTTTTTTTTTTTTAAGTTTATTTGTCTTCTAGTTTATTTGTCTTCTAGTTTATTTATTTTCTTGTTTATAGAGGTGGAAAAAGTAACAAAATTTTGTATTTAAGTAAAAGTACTGTTACTTGACTGAAATTTTACTCAAGTACAAGTAAATGTTACTTGTGGAAAAGTTTACTCATTTACTAAGTAAAAGTAAAAAGTAGCTCATTAAAAATGTATTCAGAGTAAACATTGCTGCGTTACTTTTTAAACAACCATTCTCAGGTAAAAGACCTGTCAAATA